GGAATAGTGTCGGATGAGACTCGCTCTTGGATCGTTACTCACACTTGCGTGTGGCTCCAACGATGATGTGTACAGCTGCCCATAGAACCTCTCAATCTCACTCAAAATCTCAGGTGTCCCGGAAACGATGCTGCCACATTCTGTCTTCAGCTTTGACAGTTGGCTCTTTCTGGCAGACAGATCTCTGGCAAAGACTTTGGAGCCTTGGTTCCGCTCGATCGCTTCTTCAATACGAGCTGTATTGAAGTTGCGTAAGTCCCGCCGCATGCATTTGGAGATCTGTCTGTTCAGATGCCTGTATGCTGTCAAGTCTGTTGAAGAATGTAGCTTCATCTCCCGTCTAACAGCCATGAGATTAAGAGTGTGATCGGAGAGTTTTTGTGTTCTTCTGCGGCGGGTCTTGCAGAACTTAGCTCCAACCGCATGGACAGTTTCCACGAGCTTGTCATTCATATCGTCCACTTCATTGCAGTCTTCTAGGCACTGAAAACGGTTTTGTAACTCGAGCTGAAAGGTTTCGGGACTTTGAAACAGAGCACGAGGGGGTCGGAGCGTTGACTTCATTAGACGAGACCTCTCCAACTTAACGTTTAGGTTCAGTGTGCCTCTAACCATTCGGTGATCGCTACCAGTTTTCACCCTCGCGATCACGGAGACATCACTGAACAGTTGTCGTCTGGTCGTCATAATGAAGTCAATCTCATTTTTTGTGGAACCGTCGGGGCTCGACCAGGTCCACTTCCTGTGGGGCCGCTTCTGGAAGAAAGAGTTCATCATAAAGAGTCCCTCTTTCTCCATGAAGTCGGCCAGCTGCTGGCCCCTTGGGTTCCGTTGCCCTATTCCAAATTTCCCTACTTTCAGCTCACCGTTCTCTCTTGTGCCTAGTTTTGCATTGAAGTCTCCCATTAACACCGTATATTGGGTTTTGGAGGAATGCATGGCTCTAGAGATATCCTCATACATTTCCTCCACCTCCTCATCGGGGTGTGCCGAGGTTGGTGCGTAAACCTGTATGACCTTCAGCGAATACCGTTTGGTGATTCTGAGTATAAGGTACGCAACCCTCGTCGACACACTCCCGATTTTTACAACGTTGTTAACGAGAGACTTGTGGACGATAAATCCGACACCTCCTTGGGACAGATGGTCGCCCTCCCGGTGATAGAGCAAGTTGCCGGATTCGAGGATTACCGTGTCCTCCCCCTCTCTTCGGACTTCAGATAATCCTATAATATGCCAGCGCAACTTGTCTATCTCTTCTTCCAGCTCCACGATCTTCTCGTCAGTCCTCAGGGTGCGTGCGTTGTACGTTGCCAGGTCGAGTCGTCTAAGGTGGCAACCGAACCTCCACCGGAGATTCTTAGCACCCCCTGCCCCGCCGTTACCATGGTCGCCACCGTAGCCAGGAATAGCGGGGCCGCCGGGGACTGGGGGCCGTTTTTTTGTTGCTCTCATCATTGGGGGGTATTTGCCATAGTTGCCACGCTTGGCGAGCGGGTTGGCAACCGCAGTTTTTTTATTGTCATTTGGCTATTATCAGGAAGATGCTGCTGCCCATCTCCTGGCTGTTTCCCTTTGTCGCCTTTTACGACACCCACGGGAGGATATGGGGTAGTGGATATTCTTGACCGCCACTACACGGCTAAATATATTAGGAGCCTAATTATATATGTGTTACCGTGTAGCGGCGGTGTAAGAATATCCACTATCCCATATCATACCGTGAGTGTGAGTGCGACAGAGGGAAACAAACCAGGAGATGGGCAGCAGCGTCTTCCTAATAACAACGACGCTTGTGGCAACTATGGCAAATATCCCCCTGTGAGACAATCTATGGGGGAGGCCTGTGTTAAGCAGTAGGCTTTAACGGTAATAGTCAGTGCCTAATTATGTGTGTAATTATTTGCAATAAATGTTTCTTTCTTCATTCTATCTTTTTTAACCGACTTCAAAAAAAGGATGAAGTTCTCAATTCGACTGTTATTTGTTTTTATGTGTTTTACCTCATAACTTTTATCCAGGTGAACCGATATTGATGATTCTTTTTTTATTTGAAAGCTGGTGCTTCTCACGTGGTCTCATATAATATATATATATATATATATATATATATATATATATATATACATATATATATATATAGTTTTTGAGTTATCCTTAATAATGCGAATTTTATTGACTTCGATTACATTGGTGATGTTGTCATATCAAAATTTTTAATATTACCACTTGTTCTAATTTCTTTTTTTTTAATCGTAACACTTGGCATTGAAGGTCGCAGTACCAGACGTCTGGCACCTTTAAAGCTACTGCCTGACGCAGGTCTAGGTACTTTTCCTATCGTGAACAATATTGTAAAACCATCAACTATCGGAAGCCATTAAATATTTCAGGTTATTCCCATAATCGCCTCCTACAACACCCACGGGACGAAATAGAATTCTCTTTCGTACACCACACGGCAATCTCTTTCTCCCTCTAGCAGAATCAATAACGATCGATATGTAGAAGTACGAAGTATTATGCAATCAGACGCACCCACAAAACATATAAAAAAATTAAATTCGTTCGCGAACTTTCGGTGCAGGGTAACATCGGCCCACATAGCGGGACATCGCCGAGGTGCGAGACACGACGCACTGGCCGCCTCTTCCATCATCGTCCAACCGTGAAACGAGAATAGGGCTGCTAATTTCCACCGCATTAAGTTAATTTCCGGTTAAGATCATATTTAAAAAAAATGTAAAAAATTTAACGTACGTGTTATTTTTTTTTTACTTTACTATAAACTTTTCCAGCCAGTATTCAAGAATAATTTAAAGCTTTTTTATTTTTCTTATCTCTGTGTTTTTTATTTGCAAAGTTATTATTAATTCAGTGTTTGATTAAAAAGGTTAGAATATAATATATATTTATATATCGAAGTTTATATGAAGAAGTAAGGGTAACAAACCAGCACACAATCAGTACAAAATCATCATTATCATCATCGTATTCACTTGCTTCGTGAAACAAAATTGAACCGATTTTAATATTATTTGCAAGAACAATTTATGAAGGGTCGTTGCGTATGTATGTTCATTATTTTTATATTCATTGAATTATTTGCAGTATATCTGATAACGACAGTATAATTGGGCTATTTTAGTAATTTGAGAAAGTTCCTACTTTGTAAAATAATTAATTTATGAAAAAAATTGGAAAGATGGATTGTATTGTAACAGGTAATCTATACAAATAAATAAAATTGAAGTGTCTGTTTGTAATTTCGAAATAACAGCTTTTTACTATAAGCATATGAAAGTATACCTATACGGTACTCATAACAAAAACACGATTTTTATCATTTTTGTCTGTCTGTTTGTTCCAAAACGGCTGGATCGATTTCGACGGGACTTTCACTAGCAGATAGCTGATGTTATAAGGAGTAACTTAGGCCACTTATATTTTAGATAAATAATTAGGGCACCGCGCAACATAATTAAAACCCTAAATTACACGCGGGCGAAGTCGCGGGGAAGAGCTACTCGAAAATTAAAAGAAAGGAACATATTTGATGGACTAAACACCATCCGCATATCCTTTTAATATTAAAATATAAGGTTGTGAATTCAGGCCTTAGATTTTTTATTAGGTACACAAGATTTTTTTTAATGCTAAGTGCATTTTCTTAAAATAAAAATAGCTTACATTATTGGCCGATTTCACTATAGTTATAATTTTTTTAAAGTTCTACTATATCGCATAAATAAAATTAATACAACTCTACCATTTTGTTAATTTTCGCAGCCCTACCTAACAAGGAATCGGCTGTAAACGCAGGCCGGTATATAAGCGTGTCCTTGGAGAGCTTTTTGACAATCAATCGAAGAACTTGACCAAGGTACAAAATGGAAGGACACTACAGGATAGCGTTTTTCGTGAGTTAATCTTTATATATAAAAATTACGTGTCACATTGTTTGTCCGCGATGAACTCCTAAATTACTAAACTGATTGCAATGAAATTTTGCACACTGTGTGCAGTTTGGTCCAACTTGAGAGATAGGATAGCTTTTATCCCTATAAGTGACCCTCAATATTTTTTTTATTACGAATTTAATAATTTTTATAGGACACAGGGTCGTCGGAGAGCGCAGAACAGCGTCTGCCTGGCCAGCTAGTTTTATATAAATTTATAATTATTTTAAAAAATGTTATGCCATAAGTGATTGCACAGTTACTGATGCATTCGTTTGCCTAATCACAATATTTATCCCAAAACAAAAAGTGTTCATTAGGTCCGGCCGTGTTGTGATAATTTTGAATTGATACTGTATTCTAGCATATCCCTGAATTCTATCGTACAAGGTACTCGTACCTATTATACCATTTCCTACCAAAGATAATTATTCGTGAGTGTTTTCAAATTATCAAACATCTTTTGTTTTAAACAATATTTGCTTGAAATCATATAATTAATAAAATTAAATTCGAACAGTAGTATACTAATATAATTTATGTATAATGTTATGTATATCTATTACATTTAAACTATATCTAATTTGTTTTGTATTGTTAATTGTGTAACATAAAATATGATTGTAAGCTGTAATTAAAAAAAAAAGTCCCGTTGTGTTTCTTGGTGGTTCTTCCCAGGACAGAGGCTTTTCCGAACCAGTAGTAAATTAAACATAACAGTCACTTTCAATAACTATTATTTATAATCTATATTGAATAAAAAAGTTTCTGTTTCTGTGTATAAATAAAATTGAGATATCTGTCTGTAATATCGAAATAACTGCCTTTAATTGAGCACAGAAGGTTAGTTGCATGGCATTAAGACATGACTAACTTTTTAATTTTTCTGTCAATTCTGTTTGTGCCTGGCCTAATCTATGGGATGACTGAACTTGTTATGAAACTTCACGAACATATGGAGAGTAGCACCAGAAGTGATCTGCGATATATTTTGTTGTACTAACTTAAAGAGTTTCTTTTGTTAAAATTAAATAGCTTTAAATGGTAGCTAGGTATGCGCGATAAAATCGAGTTACATAAGCCAGGCCGTCAGCACAAATGAAATTGATAATTGCCAGCGTAGTGTGGACCTTTTTTTGCTCCAACACCTACCCAAGAGGAGACCTGTGCCTGTGCCCTGCAGCGGGACCTTTATATTTTGCTTTACTTTTTACGTATTTACGTAGATAACTACGTCAATATGTGCAATATTTAAACCTTAAAATTATGTTAAATACATACATACATACATATAATCACGCCTCTTTCCCGTAGGGGTAGGCAGAGACCAGTTCTTTTCACTTGCTACGACCCTTACATACTTGTTTTGCTTCGTCCACTTTCATTATTCCCTTCATACATGCTCTACGGTTTAGGGTGCTCTTGACCTGGCCTTTTTTCAAGACGTCCCTGATTTGGTCTAGAAATGTCCGCCTAGGTCTACCCCTTCCAACACATTCACACTCGCCTTATACACTTTTTTCGTCAATCGTTCTTCATTCATTCTCTCGACATGGCCAAACCATCTCAGCATACCTTTCTTAAGTTTTGTCACTACATCTTCTTTCAGACAGAATGTTTAATTGTTTAGGGAATTTAATTTTTTTAAGGAATATTAGCAACTTAGTATTTCTAGGTAGGTCAGAATAGAGTAACGCTGTTATAATTAATAGTACTTCTGTTATTTCAACCAAACTAAAAAATCTAAAAATACTTATGCTGGGAGAGGTTTACGAGCGTCGAATGGCAGATTCGAATGATTTTTAGTTTTTTTTTTTTAATGGGAGAGGAGGCAAATGAGCATGCGGCTCATTTGATAGTGAGTGATCACCGTCGCTCATGGACATCCGCAAAATCACAGCAATTGAAGGTGCGTTGCCGGCCTTTTTAGAAAGGAGTAGACTCTTTTATTTACACCACTTTAACCATTAGTGTAGGTACTGTCGTTTGCCGACGATATAACTATAAAATAGTGATTACTTTTAAATCTATATTCCAGATTTCTCTCCACGCAATCATTTGTGACGCCGCATCACCAGCCACGAAAGAACTCAGAACCGGTGCACTACTACTTCCAGAAAAGATCATAGGTGGCGTGATAGACATCGTGCATAGTCATAAGAATAAGCCTGTCGGCCAGCCGATGTACCAGCAAGCTCCTCAAGGATATCCCCAGCAGTACCCCCAGTACCAGCAATGGAATGGCCAAAACAACTACCAAAACCCTGGACACTCTTCACAGTACCAAGGACAGTACAGTAATTACGTCCAACAAAACGGTTACCAAGGTCCTAATTACCCACAAAATAGTGGGAGCTTCTCCGGTAATTCTGGTCAAATGTATCCCGCCCATCAAGGTTTTAGCAATGCTCAAGGTCAGAACCAAGGACAATATCAATCAAACTACCAACAGCCAAACGGACAGTATCAGCAAACACACTTCCAAGCACAGCAAGGCACCGGCCAGTACCAGGGACCACACAATGGCCAGTACTATGGACAGACAACGCAAGTTTCCCAGGCATCTGGTGCTGGACAGATCGGCGGTGGAAGTCAAGGATTTCAAGTACCTGGTGGCGGCCAAGTTAGCGGTGGCGGTGCCCCTGTACCCACCTGTGTCTGCCAGACATGGACAAAGCCGCAGTCCGACCTGATGAAGGGCAGTCCTGTAATAGAGAAAATCGATAATTATCAAGATCAACAATGACTTTAAAAAATTAAAGAGATTTTAATGTAATTTAATGTACCTAATAGTAACAATATTAAAAACAAAATAAAAATAATAGGAATAAGAGTTTTTTTTTTTCTTGATAATCCTAAAATATATTTATAAACTCTAAGTTTATAAATATAATTATTATATCTACTGAAATTAAAAAAAATAATTAAAAAAATTACTAACACGTAGGTCGTAGGTACATATCTATATGTCTAAAAAAGAAAATAAGGATTAGATGTGATGACTCAATATTAATGTTTTATTACTGAGTAATGAGAACATTCTAAATTAAAAATTACTCATTTCGAATTATTTCTACAGAACATTTTCTAAGTTTTTAAACATTTTAAGAAACTTTTACTGGAAATGAGGCATTCCATCTTAGTCCTCACGGGTGACAACGCATCTGCATTTTGATTCGCAAACGAGGATAGGTGTAGATGTCTATGGGCCGCAGCAACCACTTACCATCAGGTGGACTGTGTGCTCGTTTGTCACCCTTATCCTATAAAAAAAAGAATCTTTTACATTGTATATAATAAATTTATGGTATTTTCTACAGATTTCAAAAAGAAGGAGGTAATCAATTAGACTGTATGTTTTTTTTTTAATGTTATACTTTATAACTTTTTTCTGGGTGAACCTGATTCGATGATTCTTTTTTTATTTGAAAGCTGATGCTTCTCATGTCGTTCAATATAAATTTGATCAAGGCCTAACCTAACCTAAGTTTTTGAGTTATTCTTAATAATTTATATTGAAGTCGGTTGTACTAAATTTTAAATTTTAAATTATATATTATTTACATAAGCCCATTTTTAAATTAGCTTGAAAAAGATGGCTTAAAATTAACAGTGATTTTCTTACATGGTAGAGCCACAGCACAGAGTTGTAGCACGAATGGGTCGGCTCAACCGGTGACTACACTCTCACACAATACCAGAGTAAAATAGCATTAATGCTGCTGTGTTCCATATAATGAGTGTAGAGAACCGGAGATCCTTTTTACTGGAAAAGAGGCATTCCATCTTAGTCCTCACAAGTGACAACGCATCTGCATTTTGATTCTTTATTGAGGATAAATGTAGATGTCTACGGGACACGGCAACCACTTACCATCAGGTGGCCTGTGTGCTCGTTTGTCACTCGATCCTATAAAAAAAAGGAGGTGAGATAATCCAACTTGATCGTCAGGGGTGACAATGCATCTGCATTTTGATTCTTAACTGAGGATAAATCTAGGTGTCAAAGGGCCACTTACCATCAGGTGGACTGCTCGTTTGTCAACTTTATTCTATAATAAATAAATGCCCTTACTTCCAGCGCCTGTTCACATTTAATCATTTCTTGCCAAGACATTATTTATTTCTATTGTAAAATGACAGGCGTTTCTATTGATCTCATTTCATGTACAGTTGTACTTTTTTCCTTGGATGAATTAATACTTGAAACTGGCTGCAGGTGTCCATGGACTACAGCAGCCACTTACCATCAGCGGGACTGTGAGTCATTTGTCGCGTCAGTTTTATTAAGAAAAATGCTTACGCAATGTGCATTTTTTTAACGACGGGTTATATCAGAGATATCTGGTAGATTATACGTGGTAGAGTCATGCTGCAGCTATATTAATAATATAGTTGTAGCACGAATGGGTCGGTTCGACCGGGCAAGGACCACGCTCTCACAGAACACCAGCGTAAAATAGCAGCCTAACACTGCTGTGTATCATATGGTGAGTGTAGAGAACAAGATACCCTTTTTACTGGAAAAGAGGCATTCCATCTTAGTGCCCACGGCTGAAAACGCATCTGCATTTTAATTCACAAACGAAGATATATGTAGATGTCTATGGGCCACAGCAACCACTTACCATCAGGTGGACTGTGTGCTCGTTTGTCACCCTTATTCTATAAAAAAAGCCTATGACCTAAATTTAGGTGATTCATGTAGTGTAAGGGTACATTTTTTAAGAATATTACTATTTTTGGGTGGTATGGATCCTTTTCTACCTAAAACCTTTCTGGGTATCTCTATCTTACCTATTTCTGCCGCCAAATAACATTGCCTACACTACTGTTTTCAGATCTGAAGGGTATACAGAGCCTTTTTTTATAGAATAAGGGTGACAAACGAGCACACAGTCCACCCGATGGTAAGTGAATGCTGTGGCCCATACACATCTACATCTATCTTCGTTTGCGAATTAAAATGCAGATGCGTTGTCAGCCATGAGGATTAAGATAGAATGCCTCTGCTCCAGCAAAATCGATCTCCGGTTCTCTACACTTACCATACGAAACACAGCAGTATTAAGCTGCTATTTTACGCTGGTATTCTGTAAGAGCGTGATTCTTCCCCGGTCGAGCCGACTCATTCGTGCTACAACTATACTACGAGTATTAATATAGCTGCAGCATGACTCTACCACGTTCAAAAAGGCACAATCACAGGCATTTTATTTAAGTACTTAGAGGTTCTGAGTTTAAGATTTTGTTTTTATAGAATAAGGGTGACCAACGAACACACAGTCCAGCTGATGGTAAGTGGATGCTGTGGCCTATAGACATCTACATTTATCCTCGATTAAGAATCAAAATGCAGACGCGTTGTCACCACTGAGGGCAAGAATAGAATGCCTAATTTCCAGTAAAAACGGCCTACAATTCTCTACACATATCATACGAAACACAACAAAATTAGTCTGTTTTAAAAATAATTTTACGCTGGTATTCTGTGAGAGCGTATTCCTTCCCCGGTCGAGCCGACTCATTCGTGCTAAAATGATAATATAGCTGCAGCGTGACTCTACCACACATAAAACGTGATACAAGAGCACTTGATACAGTGATGTACATTGGCTGTAGGTGTCCATCAGCTCATTGGCTGCAGTAGCTACTTAGCAATAGATGGACAGTTTCTAGAGGTGGACCGGTGTAAATTCGCTCGTCACTTGTTTAATAAAAGAAAAAGAAATAGAATAATGTACTGTTTTAAAATATGATATTTCTTAAAATAATATCCTAATAATGTTAAGGGGTTTTAAAAAATATTATTATCTTATGAAATCAATTCCTGTTTGAACTTACAATCAGGCACAATGACCAGGCTACTTTACTAAAATATAGCTAAAATCATTTTTGAAAAATCGCCTGTATTACCAAGTATTAGGGTTTATAAAAATCGAGCTAGTTTTTATTTTCGGACTATTTACCGTCCAGTGTTTAATGACCTTTCTTTCTAACATTATTATGAAAGGTTTGTTCCGATTAGGAGCTCTCGGATGCTGGTTTTCAGGAAGTAGGTCTGAAGAGTGCGCGCGCCGTCTTACGTAATCGTTACGTAAGGGGTGAGCGAGGGTTGCAGGGGGTGGAGCTACGACCTGCGCGTGGAAAAGGTGGGGAGAGGACAAACGGGGGCGAAGGCGCTCACAATCAATTCCTATCCGCAGTCCGGCTCGGCGTTTGAACATGGCAGACAAAAGTAAGGTTGCTGAACAATACTACTCCAAGCCGCCGGATCTAGGAAAATGGGAGTCCTTCAGGATGTTTTTGTGGAACTCCGAGACCGGACAAGTCCTTGGCCGCACGGGATCGAGTTGGGGTAAGTTTTTCTGACAATACAATCTTTGTTTCTACCACGGCGGTTACGGGTTTTGGAGGGAAAAATCGATGATAGGATATGGGGAAAAGCAGTATATGATTAACTTCGCATCTTGGTATTCTGGCTCGTTTCCTTGCTGAATATTTAAAAGAACCTTAATTTTCGGTTGAGGCTTCGACTGCTGTTATGTAACCCTCTGTGAACAAAATTTTTGAACAGGGAGTAAACTGAAGGTAAAATGTTAACTTACAAGATTGTCCTTTCTATTAAGTACTTATTATAATAAAGCAGGTCACTATGAATAACGTTGAAGAATAGTACTTTATTTTTTTTTAATCCTTTATACTTTTTCTTACAGCTCCGTAAAAAGAATTACCAAAGAGCGAAAACGAATGTTTAAACATAATCTATATTGTTAATAATAATGAAACAATATGGATATAAAAATAAAAAGTGGATACTCCCGCCATTGCTATTTTATGCTACGCGCTAGTCGTAGGTTTTGCAGTTGTACTTTCCAGTTACATAATCATAAAACGCCCTACAAATAACTTTATTTCTTTTACAATTTGAACAATAAATCCAACATACATGTTCGACATTATTAATTTTATCTCTTCAAGAGTTAATAGCATAAAAAATATTAATTTTTAAATATTAAAATAACACTGGCTACAAAGAAATATAAAAGGACGAATCACTTGAACATTTGTTCTTCATGAATTAGTTTGAAAATTCAGTTCATTTAGGTCAAATCAAATAAGTACGTTGGCTCTAAATTCATTCATGGTTTTACATCTAACTCTAATTACTGTTGTATAGTTTGATTATTACAAAACAATGGAGATTAGTTCGGACACGGATGCGCATGCACTAGCCATCTCTACAACTATTGGATAAAAATATGTTGGTTAACACTGTAACCGCTGCTAAATTTTAATTTCTAATTTAACTTTATTAAAGTTTTCTGCCTTTATTGACGAAAAATAAGCGGAATACAGTTAAGTCAACTCTGTCTACATGTTTGTCAATAGTGGCACCTATGGCAGATATACTCCCTATGAGGTGATCTAGACCTAGGGTTTTTGTTACCTAGGCTTGTGTTGGATGTTTTTGCTTCTAAAAATATCGTCTTAAAAATAAAAGGAGGTCATATCTCTAAATTTTATTTTTGTCATCATTATCTATTTCTAATTATTTAAAAAAAAATAGGACCTACGTTTCTGTTTCCCGCGCCATATCAATCGCAGTCTTTATTTGGATCATATCGAACAAAGATATTTTTTTTTAATTCAACGATTCTGCAAATAATTATTACGTTGTAATTTGGCACTAAATTCTTGCAATATGGGAAATAAGGCCACAGTTGAGAGCAGAGAGCAGAGAGAGAGAGAGATGCGCAACACCGCACGGACTGCGCGCGCTTCGTCCTCCGACGATCGATCCAAGGACGTTCACAACTGTGCCATTTTCGTACTAGCTGCTTCAACATATAGCACATTCATTTATATATATAGAATTGAAATATATACAATATTTAAAAAAAAACTATAGTAAAATAACTGAGGGAAACAAAATTAAAATATTATTACCTTAATAAAAAATAAAAATAAAATTATCATACAGTGATTTTCCATCCGGTTCTCCACACTGACCATACGAAAGACAGCAGTATTAAGCTGATATTTTATGCTGGTATACTGTGAGAGCGTGTTCCTTCCCCGGTCGAGCCGACTCATTCGTGCAACAACCATTATATAGCTGCAGCGTGGCTCTACCACATATAATTATATATATAATATTATATATATATAACAAAATTGCTAAAACTGAAAACTTAAATTATCATACAGCTCTAATCCCCGCGGTATCGTGCCAAGAATGCTGACTGCGTTTCCTCACTAAATGGCTATACTTAGCCTTTGAGTGAGAAAAGAACCAGCCCTCTTCTCATCAGCACCGATGACCAGTCGCGGATACAGTTTTTTTTTAGGAACTTCACCGCACGTGGACCCCACAGACCGATAGTCTCTACAGCAAATGTCACAAATATTTAGTTATCTCCCAGATACTTATATTTGCGCCACTTAGTTCAGGTGCCTCTGTTATACAGTTGTCAGAGTTAGTATACAACATATGTATTGGGAAGAATAATATATAGAGATTTTGTTAGAATATAAAGAGTTACCAGTCCTTAATCTTTCACGGCCTTTTAAAGATGAAAAGATGAAATGAAGACGAAATCTGCTAGTGCCGAAGACAGGAGCACACAAGGCGTTAGCCGCTTCCCGAGCTTAACACCTCGTCTGGTATGAGTGTTGGCCTTTTCCACCAACGGGCGCCATTTCGGGTATAAAATTAACTCCCTGTCTCATTTTATGTTTTTAAATAATGCTTGTAAAAATATCAAGTAGTAAAGTTAAGTTATAGCATATAATAAACGCCCCACATCTGGATAAAGGTGAGTCCGTATGTCCTTACCGCGGGATGAAAAGCGGTAAGACACTCACAAGTAAACGGTTTTTCTCGCAAAACTTACAATAAAATGTTATAACTAAATAATTTAAAAATAAAAATGTTGTACAATCGACTTTAATATATATTATTAATAATAACTCAAAAACTATTGGTCAGACCTTGATCAAATTTATATGGGACCACATGTGAAGCACCAGCTTTCAAATAAAAAAAGAATCATCGAAATCGGTTCACTCAGTAAAAAGTTATGAGGTAACACACATTAAAGAAAAACATACAGTCGAATTGCGTACCGTCTTCTTTTTGAAATCGGTAGAAAATATCACCTATGAGGCATTGTATGGGGGAGGCCTATGTACAGTAGTGGACTTTTCATAGCCTGTAACGGTAACGGTACACAGTAATATAACGGGAATATTATAAATAGTGCTACATCTACCTAAATATGAGCTACAGCTAGTTTTATGAAGCCTGTACTTTGAAACAGCAAGTTTAGATCTATCGCGAGTGCTGATTTACCACGTGCTAGGCGGTGAAGGAAAACATCCTGTGAAAACCTGCATTAAGAAATAAGAAAAAATGTTTCGAAGACATGTGAAGTTCGCCAACACGCATTGGGGCAGCGCAGCTGACATTTCCTTGCCCTAAAATCCTCTCAGAAATGAGAGAAGTCCTTTGCCTGGGCACTGCTGGCAGTGGGACGTATATATGCTGTAACTTTTTTTAGCGCGTAATTAAATTACGGACATCACTCATTTTGGCAAATTTACGAGAACTTTAATAATGTCATTCAGACCGAATTTGGTCACGGCGGCCAGTCTTAACGGAGACTAGCCATATAGAGTATATACACTAGCACAGGTGCACTCTTTGTTCCCTCACTCGTCCGATTGGATGACAAACTGACACAACTGGAGAAATACCAGGCGCAGGACCAACGGCTTTACGTGCTTTCCGAAGCACGGGGGTGAAACATCGCCAACTTGATCTTATTGATTTCACAAAAAACCCAATAATGAGGGCTAATAACTTTCTGCTCGCCAGATATCGCTAGTGTACATTGAGGTAGTTTTCATTACACAATGACATTTAATTGAGAAGTTAGTTTTTAATAAGTTTATCAGTTTCTAGAGTATTATATTAATAGAGAAACAATGCCTCAGTGGTTTGCTCTTTAATTATTTGCACATTTTTAACTTTTTTTTCTACTTTTATGAATATCTGTGGTTTGGTTTGTTTATTTTAATCTTATTTTTATAAAATATCGCTAATACGACAGAAAGAAACATTAACCTTTACATTTTCCGAACAAATTCACTTGCCCGCTATGATATCTGTCAAATATTATACCACAATTTTAAGTGGCGCCGCCCTGGTGGATAAAAAAGTCGTGAATGTCGATGCGTGGACCTCATAATCACCAAGCGTGTTCACGAGCACTAGACCAACGATGCAGAGGCAGGCATTATAGCAGTTTCTTGCAAAATTGATTGTGCTAGGAACCGGTAGCTTGCTTACGGATACTCTGAGATCTATAGACCATACTTTGACTTTGCTCAGACGTTACTTTCGAGAGAGAACAAGTCACTAATTTTTGAAATGTTATGAAGCAATTTGTCCGGCACTATGCTTTAGTGCATTTTGTTGGCCTCCTGTTTCATATCTCCCTGCTTTGTATTCTGAAATGTGGTAGAGCCCCTCTTCTTCTAGGCGTCCGTCTATGTAGGTCCCACTCTTACCTGTTTCTTCTGCAAAAAAGTGTTATGACAGACTAAAAGGAATCCGTCTTAGTTGTTTAAAGTTGGTTGCAAGTGCCCACGGGCTGCAGTACTTACTTAACATCAGGTCGAATATTTATGGTTGTCACTTTCATAAAAATGTATTCTTCCGTTATCTATTTGAGGCCAAGGGATCTTTGCATTTAGATCTTTGGCCTCACAAGACCCAAGGGACGATATGTGAGGAGGTTTGTTGGCTAGTACCACAGATTTTTTTTTTAATTATGATTAGAAGTTATAGAACTTGTTATAATTCACTTGTCTCTGTTACAGTCTCCAGACTTACAACAACTACAATCAATCATTTTCTATTTGATTTTTAGGCATCCTACAGGACAGAATCTATCATGTAGTGGCGGTGTCAGAATATCCACTACCACATATTGTCCTGTGGGTGTTGCAAGAGGCAACAGAAACAAAACCAGAAGATAGGCAACGTTTTTCATAAAACTCAACAATTAGAAAAATAAAAAAATATATATGCGTTTGCCAAACCGCCGGCAATTACAGCAAATATCGCTCCTATGAAGCAATCTATGCGGGAGCCCTATGTTCAGCAGTGTAGTTTTAAAATGTAACAGTGACAGGACAGAACGGGGTGACCGAGTCAGTTATATATTTCAAAAAGCCTCACATGTACAAGTTGTTTTGTACCCCTGTAAGCCGATGGTATGATTCATTGGAAATTCACCTCATTTATATTTAGACTGCGCCCTTTGCGCATGTCTGATAAGGGTTGCACAG